ACAAAGCTTCTGACTCATAAATACCGTTTTCTTTGTGAGACTGAGCGGGCGAAACAAAACCTCTTGGTCATTGTTCTCATACAGCCTGCACAATCTTGCAGGCTGTCGTTTTGTCTACCAAAACAAGGCAAAAAAGAAAGCAAAAGTAAAAATGATGTATCACCAGGGCTGTGCCAACCTTGCTGCAGGTGACTTTTGTTTCAGCTAGCTAGAAACTGAAACAAAAGCCTGCCGAGCCGGGGCGTGCCAGCACTTCAGACTCGCGGTTTAGAATTGGGAGGTGTGCCGACCGCGTAGACCTCTCCGTAGGAGCGGGATGTCGTGTGGTGCAAATCTGTCGGAGATGCCTGGGGTGGCGCTGCCAGTCACAGCGGGACCAGGGGTGCTATGTTGCGCTTTTTGGACTCCCGGGAGACTTAAAAGAAGGAAGTGACGTCAACGACACAGCAAACGCAGATTGGATGTTGACAGAAGAAAACGAAATCAACACTTAATCTGCGTTTGCTGTGTCGTTGACGTCACTTCCTTCTTCCTAGTCTCCTGGGAGTCCCAAAAGCGCAACATAGCACCCCAGGGCCGGTTTTTTCGAAGCGATGGTAAACCCATTTTGGTAAACCACGGTGCCTAGGAAGGAAAAAGTACCTAGGTACTTTAAAAAAAAAACGGGTGGATATAGAACAACAATAATTATTTTTGATTGGGCAGTAAGATGCGCCATCTATCGGTGAAACAAGCCAGTCATTTTGTTTATCCTCTTTTTCCGCTGGTTGTTATCGATCAAGTATGGTATTTTAAGTCAATGTCACTGTTGTACTTGAAGACCAATTTATTTGCTTCAGATGGTACAAAGAAATTTTAGCTAGTCTCCTAGAGTTTGCCGACGAATATTCGGAAATGTAAGAAACATTCCCTTCAATATGTTTCGCCATAAACAACGCATCACGTTCCCGTATTCCTTCCAGTCTGGCAACGCCAGTGCTGTAGTCTCGTTTTTGTTCCTCGCGACGCACGTTTCTGCGATTCCTGCTGATCTCAACTGTTTTCCCCCTTTTCCTTTTGCCCAACCGATCCACCGGTGACGAGGAGCTAAGCTTCTCGTCACCGTTGAATTGCTGGCCATGGCAAATATGTAGAAACCTCGATGCTGTCGGCATACTGTCGGCGCACTGCGTACAAAAAAACAAAAACCAAAAAAACAGTACAATGTCCCAGCTGTTCACCCGGAACGAAGACTTTATCGAGGATAACCCCCTTTCTTCGCAAAGTAATCGCTGCTCACGAGTTGGCGTGCATAGTGTAACAAATCAAACGTGTTAGTATAAATATATACCAACACTCGTTCGCAAAACATTTTTTTACTCACCATAAGAACACTTGCAAGGCTTATGTACCGTCATATGTCTTGGATCCCGGACTGCTCAAGAGTGATGCGTTCGCGGAATGCTGCCGTCGGTTAGTTTAGTAGTCCCTGTGAACTACCGCTGTGCTTGACGTGCTAATAGGTTGGTGGTGCGTCATCAACATAACAGCCGGATCGAAATGAACGTTCAGCAGAACCAAGCAGAACTATTAGCCCTCATTAAAGGGGCAGTCAAGTGGTTTTTGAGTTCGTGTTTTGATAATGACAGCTGAATTTAGACGCCTTAAGTATCCCTAAAAACCAAAAAGTATAGTCATACGGTGATTATTTCTTTAATAAAAATGTAATTGAAGGCCGCCAAACCTCGGATCCATCCGAAAACGAAACCACTCTCATTGGTCGTCGCACGCTTATCAAAAGGATCTCGGGCCAATGGCGTTGGACGACGTTCCGTCGCGCAGTGATCCCGAGGTAGCCGCATCGGCCGAACCTCTTTGTCATTCGAGCTTCGATCATGGCGGAGTTCTCTACGCTCGAGGACCTGACGCCGTTAGAGGTTGAAGTTCTTCGGCGGACAGCCGACCTGGGGATGATTTCCTATGACGCCACTCCGACGTGCGATGTGGACGATAGCAGCCCTTCGGAGTCATGTTCGGGTTCCGAGGACGACGAAACGCAGACCTTTTCGGGCGTTCTTCGATTTGCGGTTGGGGCAAGTCGTAACCAAACCAACGTTTGACATCGCAGCGTTACCTCTGGTACGTGATGTCAAACGATGTCGCCACGTTGACTTTCGCCTCGGGAGAACGGGGGGAAGGCTGGTTCAGACATGTGCAACGAGCGCGTACCTACGACTGCGTCCGTTGCAACCGGAACGACCGCACTCCGCCGCGCGTACACACACCTGTAACCACTACAACAAGCGCAGCGGGTCGTCAGCACGGCGACCGCTTCTGTACGCCGCCGTCAGCTGTGTCAGCGGCACCTCTAAAAAAGGGGACGCACTGCTACTCAATGCCGTAACAGAATATAGACAGACAGTTTTCTAGTCTAAAGCTTTATTATTTTTTCTTGATAGGCTTGAAGGGTACAGCGAATGAAAAAAATAAAATAAGATGCAGCGCCGTCTTGGACGATCACGACTTTAATACACGACATTGCAATAGAACAAATATCGCCACACGCCTTTTCTACGATTATAAAAGACAATGTAATCTTAGCAGCGATATAGCAACGTAGAATTATGATTTCGTGATCAGATAGACGTTGCGAGCGTTCAGGATTGCTAACCCTAATCATTTTTCTCCGGTGATGAAAACGCGTGAAAATTCGTATCCTTTATACGGTACGCGCCAGTAATACCTTGAACTTGAGCACACGCATGAAATGCGCCAAATCAGAAATCCGGGCGATGTTCGAGGACACAAATGCTTAGAAAGCACCACTGTAGTCGAAGTAAACAAACACGACGGCACGGGCGTTTCTGCTATCTTGAGAGTGCCGCCACGACATCGCCGCACGAGTAGGTGGATGTTCCCTTCTAGTACGTGCTGGGTTATCATAGCCAAACACGACGAAAATTCACAGTCAAGGATAGCGCTTTTACGCGGAACGATGAGCTTTCACCAGGCCGTCCATTCCGACGATCACCACCGACGCCACGTTTGCGGATAGAAGGAGCCGGCCGGCCTGCAACGCGCGGAGATACGTGCGCTTCCGCGCATCCCTGGGGAACGGGAAATTCACCCCCCGCGGAGGAAGGCAAATAGAAAACGTACTCCCTTGTTTGTGAAACGATAATTGCGCTATCGCGTATTCTAAACTAGAAATATTTTACGTCTGGTGAAATTATCATGCACAACATATTTAAATAAACTGAAAATTGTTTTTTTAGCGAAACTTTAAAAAGACCGCCAAAATTTTCAAACATACGATAATTTCATTGGTCCTCGCAAGTACAGAAAAGAGTCCGCACGTATTTTATTCCTGCGTGATTAATAGGCGTTTCTGCCTTCTAAAACTGAAGATACTCATTCACTGACACTTCCTTAACACCATCGCACCAAAAAGTAGCTTCTCCAAAAACCGCTTGAGTGTCCCTTTAAGCGACGTCGCGGCTATTTTGCTTGTAGGTACTGCTCCTCCCTCGGCGCCCCTGCTCTCCCCAGTCAAGTGACCTAGAATTCCCTCTTCTAGGGACAATAGTTAACTTTAACCCACGCTTTGCGTTCGAGAAAACGGGCCCAGGAGGCCGGTCAGGCAGCGTTTAGCGAGGATATCTTGGGGCATGTTTGTGTGACTATTTCTGTGGCTTTTCCGTTGTGTGTGAAGGGATAAGATATCGCATGGCTGCTAGCTGTGCCGAGGAGATATGGGACTGGCGACGATGTCAAATACGGCGAATAAGAAGACGGAGCGGTGTTGTTTTACGCAGGGGTGCAACGAAACACTCTTTGTTTTCAAACCCAAGCGATACCTCTCTGTTCGCGGAATGCGACCGTCTGACTTTAGAGGGACCATGAAACGATTCTGAAATCGAATTAAAAAAAAAGTCAAATTTGGGGGTTTTACGTGCCAAACCTACGACGGGCATCTGGCACGCCCCAGCGGAGGACTGAGGATTAATTTGGACCACCTGGGGATCTTTTGACGTGCAACCGAAAGCTCGGTTACACGGCGCCTTCTGCGCAATAAGCCTCCGACATTTGCGGGCACCTCGGTCGGGATTCGAACCCGCCACTTGGGGATCCGTAGGCCGGCGCTCTCGCCTCGGAGCCACCAAGGCGGCTATTGAAATCGACTTTCATCCACCGCACGTCGTAAAAGGTGTGAAAAGAAACACAAAAACAAAAATAAGGAGCCAACAAAAATTATTTGCTATAGAACTTTTAAAAGAAAACTGGACTCTTTTGGGCCTTTTTTCCTTCGAAAGAAGCTCTCTGCCTTTTCACAGCGATGCATCCGCGGAAACGCAGCACGTCAGCCGAATCCACGTCGCCTATTGGGTAAGAGCCTACCTCACCAGCACCGCGATCGAAACAATAGATAGCCGGCGAATGTTTCCTAAAAGTTTTGTGTAATAGTATTCAGATCCACATTTTGCAGCATAATTACAGATGTGACGAAAATTGCCAAATTTGATAATGCTGGAGCCAACCCAGGCGAAAATTTCTAACTGGGACCAGTTGGCACCTCAACTGGTTTCAACTGGGACTAACTGGTGCCAACTGGGAATGAACTGGGACCAATAGCAGTCCAACTGGGACCAGCTGAGGGGTCAACTGGTTTGAACCATTCCCAGTTGGGAGTGAACTGGTTTGACTCCCAGTTGGGAATGGAGTGAACTGGAACCAGTTAGGAAAGTAACTGGTTGGAGCGATTCCCACTCGGACGTCAAATACCTGTCCCGTTCCCAGTTCACACGGGGCAACAATTTTGTCAAGTTGGGGTGTCCCGCCCATTCCCTCTAGGGATTGGCTGGGGGCATGTCGGAGGGGGGAGAGGGGGCGATCGCTCTATAAGCAATCGCACCTCTCTCTCTGCCAGTTGGTTGCTTCGGAGGCGGCACACTCCCGTGTCGCTCCCAGACCCAAGGTTTCAAGAGGTTTCGAGACCTTAAGACAGCGTGCGGACGACTCCGATGCCTCCCAAGAAAACCGAACGGTCCCTCCGTTCGCAATCAGCTCGACCCCCGACTTCCCGTGGCGGTGCACCTGGTGATGGAAGCCCTGTGCCTGCAGCTACGCCGCCTGGCCCTCCGAGTAGGGTCCCCTTCTCTTCCATTCCCGCTCCGCCATCCAACCCGGTGGCCTCCAGAACCCCCGGCAACCCGACGCCGGCAACCCAGGAGTTGGTCTCCGCCCTCACCACCGCCCTTAGGGCAGCCTTCCCGGAGGCGCCCCCTCCCCGACGTGCTTGTGTGTCCGAGACTGCCCAGCCCGTCCCCCTCACGACGACCGACGACGACGAAGAGGACCTCCTTTTTAGGGGGTACCCCTCCAGCCAGGATCCCGCAGGCCGCTACCGGGCCCGGATACCTGACGACTCCGACCACAGCAGCAGCAGCAGTGGGGACACCCCACCGCGTCGAGACCGCCAGTACCCCAGGCACATCCGTCCCTCCCGTGCCCCAACTGGCAGCCGCGGTCAGCGGCTCTTCACCACTCATGACCCCCCCACCCGCCGGGACTTCCGCAATGCCCTCCTGTACGTCGACCGGGCCAGCCGGCAGTCACGGTTCTTTGGAACCCGTGACGTCGTCGAGCTCCAAACCTTGGAGCTCTTCCTCCAGCTCTGGGACTCTGACCCCCCCCTCCGTGCTTCAGCGAAGCTTAAAGTGTTTGACCGTGTCAGACTTCTCTACCACGTCGCCCTCACGGGGTGGCAGGCCGCACTCCAAGGGTACGCCGACCCGACGGCCTCCTACCTTTTGGGAGCCCCGCTCCCCACACCACAGCCCCCCCCCCCCCCCCCCCCCTCCTTCATCCGACCGGCCCTCCAGACCGACCAACCGTGGCCGAGGAGCCGCCAACCGTGGCGGCCGTGGAGGACAGGCATCAGCCCGCCCCCGAGATGTTCCCGACCCCGTCGAGTGAACTCTTTCCCCCCCTGCGACGGACTGCTACCACCCTACCAGACTCTCTTCTCCAGCGCCTCCCCATGTGGGACTCCCTTGAGTACGCGCCCCTCCCCGACACCCCGCCACCAACAGTGGTGAGTCCTGACGTACCTTCACATCTTGTACAAGAACTCATAGAACCTTTGCACCTTGTCCTGCATGAGCCGCAGCCAGTGTTAAGGCCCGTTCACACTCTTGCGACCGAGTACGACTGAGAGAGACGAGATCTCATACAACTTCTTAAATGTTTCTAGAATGAGGGAACACACTGACATTGTGGCGCCATCTATGCGGTGACCCTAGAACTGCATTTCACAAAAGCGAAGGTTTTGCGGGATTTCCGAGCTCAAATGTGCGTAATACCCATAGAAAGGCTCGTTTATAACATTGACAAAAGTTTTTCGGGCCAAAAAAGAAAGGATATTGCGCGAGAAATAAAAAAAAAAAAATAAGCCGGACCGCCGAGTTTACACTGCTTCCCAATAGATGGCGCCAGTGTGTTCTCTGGTTTAAGAAGTTTTAAGGAACCAACGAGGTAGAGGGGCTTAGAGTGATAAACCGGAAGTTCGGAAGTGGCACCCCCCCGGTTGCCGCCATATTTTACGCAAATGTGACCACTCGTCACGTGACCTCCCAAGAGCCGTGACGTCACAGGTAAGATGGCAGCGCCCAGAGCTGGCGGATGCGAGTTTGTTCGGTGCGCGGTAGCCGTGATGTGCAGCTGCTTTCCGACGACTTCGGGCTTCTTCGTGCTCGCTGACGCAGGTATCATGTGAAAATATGAAGGAATGAGACTTTATACCGTTTTTGCGCAAGATCGCTCTGGATCATCTGGATATTAACGCCTGTGAGACAGCATCAGCTCTGCATCGCCGTACCGGTGCTTGGATTCCGGGATGTGTCCGAGGATCGATAGAACTTTGAGTGCTTTTAACATGAAATTTTCGCATTCTCTTAGCTTTGTTTGAACGTTGAAATATCTGAGAATCTACGCGAAATGTATACGTCGCGTTAGGGCCTAAGGGAAGTTGTTTCAGCCCTCCGTCACCGAACAACCATAGCAACTTTTAGCGAAGAAGCTCCTGCGATTTTAACCTTTTGGGCTAATCCACGATTCTACATTCGATCGCTTTTCTTCCTTTTTTTCTTTTTGTGCGTGTGTGTGAGTGCGAAGTGCACCCTTATTTTCAGCTACGAGGTTGGCGTTTTATTGAGTATGGGGAAGAATAAATCGTTGCAGGCACCTGCTTCAAAGCTATTCGACTTGCTATAAGAACAACTGTTTTGGTGCATGCATAGATATACTGCGCATTTTTTCTGTTTTCTAGGATTTATTGCAGCTATACTCTTTTCCATCATGAGTGCATTGTATTAGTCGGTCAATTATTTAATTGTTCTAATTACCTGGATAAGATGATTCATATTTGTGTTCATCCCTTGCCTGGAGAGCAGTCTTGTTGAAAAATGTTGACTACCATTCCTTTCGGTCTCTTCAATAGACTCTTTTTAAAAGTGTGGGCTGTCTATACTTCGCATCACCGTAACTTGGAAAAGGCCAACCGCCACAGCCCCCTCGAGCCAATCAGAGAGACGGAGCGAAGGTGTGTGACAAATCTGTGCAGACGAGCACTCTGGTGATATGCTGTCATGTGCCTCTCTCCAATGTGTGTATTGACTCACCGAGACCGTAGCCTTTGCCGTCTGCCAAATTCTGATGAAACAAATTACAGTAGCTACTACTGTAATTACCCCAGGCTTTCATACTTTGGGTATTTGTTCGACAAGAATGTTATGTCCGCCATCCCTGTGAATTCGGCCTAGCACCTATTGGACTCTAACGCTGCATTGGCGTTCGACGTGAACTGGGGCCCATTCGTGTGCTTTGCGCCGAAAAAAATGGTGACGGTTGTCTTGCTTGATAAGGTTCTGCAAATGGGTCTATTGTGTCATACATATAGGAAGTGTCATGCTATATAACAATGCATCAACACATACTATTAAAACGATATGCTCAGAGGTGTGTTTGTTTTTCCAATTAACAAGTTACAGCAGTGTGCTTTAATGCTATTATCATGTGTGTAGTTATAAGTATCCTCTCTGCAATGCCTACGAAGGCCCCTGGAAGGAATAAATTAATAAATAACATTTTCACATCACTGGAGTTGGTTTTCGGATGCACCACATGTTCAGGAAAGTTTGATTGAGTGCAGCCCCTTGCAAAATGTCTGCCATTCTGGTATGACCCCTTAATTAATATTGAAGGGTCAGAGAAGCGAGTGTCCTCGTAAGGTCCAGAGCGTGCAATGGACACAATTCTCGGTGTGTAGACTCTCAAGGCATGAAGGCAAGCGGAAATATGTTTATCTGGTTAGTGTATCAAGTATGTTTATTTCCACTTGATTACAAAATTATTGATTCTTAGTAAATGGTTCCATAACGAGTTGTTTCTGCGACAGTCTCGTGTCAGGCGTTCAGTCGTAGTACCTGTGGACCTTGTTGTCGGATGACGCTCCTGGCACGTTGGTGTTCAGTTTGGTCGGGTGGCAATTTTGACCGCCTGATGCTGTCTTGTAATCATACGTCATGTGCACTGAAGCTGCAGGGCTGGCTTCTAATCCGAAAAGTTTCCTGGTAGTTTCGGCATCAATGTAGCAAGTTCGGGCATGTATTGCTTACGTGGCTGTGCCTTTTGCTGTACCGTTGACTTGAAAGCTGGCAACAATTTTTGTTTGCTATCCAAGTCTGGTGATGCTTGCAGTTCACTTTTGAGAGCAACCAACCATTCGATTCCTTCAAGTCACTCAGGGGCATTCTCCCTCAAAGTTGGAAATTGTGTGCTTCGTGGAGTGGACACAGAAAATTGGTGTCAGCAAATTTTTAGGTATTGTCCTTGGACGACAACCGACACCAAATCCACTGTCACTGCATCGCCGCTCACCTGCTTTGTAGTGCTTACCTCTTGTTGAGGTGATGGACATGAGGGGCTTTGGGGTAATCAGGGATTCAGAATCTTCGATTCAGCACCTTCGGCATCAGGGACAAAGGTCGCCGAAGGTAATCCTTAATCTCCCGTGGTCGCTCCTCGAGACGTAATCGAGGGTCGTTTGGCACGAACATCGCCGACCAATTCATTGGTACGGGCTGCTTTGGTAGACATGGTAGGCTTCATGCAGTGGTAGCAAAGTGGTTTTCGGTCGCACATTCGCATCACCTACGTTTTCCTTGCTGTACTTTGTTGAGCAGAGTCCTACACACAATGTCGGGAATGCTTCAGCGTTAGAGTGTCTCATTGAATTGGCATTGAATACTAAGGGGCAGCCGGTGGCGGTCGTCGTGCCATTGTGGCGTAAGTTGCCCTTGGTTTGTCAGATGCCGCTTCGCTCGCAGAAGTCTCAGTTGAAATACCTGTCAAACTTGTTCCGAAACAATCTCGGCAATCAAAATAAAAGCCGGGCAACTGATGGCAGGAAGCAGCTTCCTGATCTCCTCCCGGACAACGTCGTGGGTGATGTCGTGGATACCTGGGAGGCTGGCGTCGAAGTAGTAGCTAGACAACTCGAGTGTCGAGACGCCGGGAAGTTGTTCATAGGGGCAGGCTCGGGCATGCAGTGCACATTCCATGTTGGAAGCCTCAGTGATGTGAACACTTCGACTGTTGTTGGGGGGTTGCGGACAAGGCTGCCGAAGGTGTTGTCCCTCACATGAGGCGCATGGGATTCTTAGGTTCTTGTCTTCTGTAGCATCAAGGTCGGCGTGGGCGTGGGCGTGGGCGCTCGATCAGGCGCAAAACATCCTCCACGAGTGCGGTGGCGCTCTCATTGGGGCAGTGTCCTGGACAGAATCAAGAATGCGGCTCTCTTTCGTTGATGTTGGCTGACGGATGCACGCTTCAGCTTGATCTTGCCAACTTCCCATGACGTTAAGGAGGATCCATGGTTCTCAGACCAGCGCCGGCAGTTTCTTCCACGAGAAGTATAGGTTCTGCAGGAGCTGGTTGTCTGTCCACCCAATGTGGCGGGCGGCACTGTCATATTGTTCAATCCAGTCCTTGACGTCTTCATACAGCTTGCGTGAAAAAGCGTCGGAGTGTGATTTGAGACGGGCATGCAAACAATGGTGGGAGGGGACACGGTTTGCTGCTACAGGTTTGTCATTGTTGGCTTGGTCAGTTTCAGATTTTCTGACAGGAGACCGAATTCCGGTGGTTTTTCCTGGTAGCAGCAACTGGCTCGGATTTCAGGTGCTTCGTGGTGTATTTCCGAGGTTACTCCTTGTGGTACTCGGTCGTCTTGCGGTTGTTCTGCCAGGCTCGGGTCAGAACTTTGCCTACGGCTCGACGGGTATAAGACACAGAATAGTCCGCCAGCCGTGTCCCATTATCGGGTAACTCGGCTGAAGAGCCGCCGGGTTCACACAGACTGAAGGGCTACGGGTAAAGTGCCCACCCTATTGGAAAAACCAGCATGAAAATCAAACTGGTCAAGCTGGTAATTAAGGTGGTCAAGCTGGTAATCAAGGTGGTCAAACTGGTCAATGTGGTAATTAAACTGGTTTAGCTGGCAATCAAGCTGGTTTAAGCTGGGCAAGCTGGAATTTAAGCTGGTCAGTCTGGTCTAAGTAAAAACCAGCATGGTCTCACTCGAATCTGGTTTTAGATTCAATCTGGTGTAGCTGGGAGCCAGTCTGGTCTTAACTGGTCAAACTGGTTTTCCATGGAGCCAATGTGGTCAAGCTGGGAGACGAGCTGGTCATGCTGGGAGACAAGCTGGTGAATCTGGTCGAAATAATAATCGTGGTGGTCAAGCTGGTCATGCTGGGAGCGCGCACGCCAAGGTCGGCTAGAGATAGCCGAACTGGCATTGCTGGGAGCGCGCGCGACAAGGTCGGCTGCTGGAACGAGGCCACGTCCTGTTCTTTGTCCTCTCGTTTTTGGTAGACCACCGGGCGCGTCAGGCGCGCTGCAAGCTACCTTTGTGTGCGAGAAAAGAGAGAGAGAGAGAGAGAGTGGTAGAAACGGAGAATCGAAGACGCGTTTGGATAGCTTGGGCAGAGGGCAGATCGAAGGGACGGCTGTGTGCGCGTTGTTTGGAGACTAGTTGAACGACGGTGCAAGCGAAGCGGGTTTTGAGAAGACAGCGAGCGGCAGTCCGTTCAGTGCGGGAAGATGTCAGACGTCCCGACTGCGGCGTCGCTTCGTGTCTTCGAACGTGTGTGTGCCCAAGAATGACGGCGGTGCCGAGGAGTATCGCCAATGCCATCCAAGCCACACGGATTTCCTCGCCTCTGCCGACCACGCAAGTTGCCGCTTCGCCCCCATCGCTGGCGGGACCCAGGTTCGCTTCTCTCGTCCGTGTAGTATTTTCGTCTGCTATTGCCTGTTTTTGGCCTGTGTCTAGTATTTTTTTCGTGTTGAGAGATAAGCAATCTGGTTTTATTAACATTGTAGACAATTTGCACCGAGAATCTGTGCGTCGGTTAGTACTGTGTCAGCGCCGAGGATGTGTAGCATTTGAGTTCATGTGAGGCTGCCGCAAGTACGAAAATAATAAATTGGATGCCGAGTTGGCTTTTCTGACGAGCTTGGCTTTTTTATTCTGTGTATTAATTTAAACAGGTTAAACTGGTTGGGAAGTTCACCAGCATGACCAGTTTAACAGCATGACCAGCATGCCAAACTGGGCATGCTGGGGCAATAACCCAGCTTGAAGCTGGGACCAGATCAACCATCATGACCAGTATGACCAGATCAACCAGCATGACCAGCATGCCAAGCTGGGCATGCTGGGGCAATAACCCAGCTTGAAGCTGGGACCAGCTTAAGCTGGTTTTTTCAATAGGGCAGTACCTCCACCTGAACATACGATTACAGCTGAGCATGACCTGCAGTGTCCCAGAATAGTGAATATTGATAGAAGATAGGACTGGAACAAGGATCCGTGACAGTATAACAAAACTAGCAGAAGAGAATCTATCCTGACCACTGAAGAAGCTGCATTGCTTTAGTGGCATTCTGTCGGAATAAATCCTCTCTTTCGGGGTTTGGCGACTGCCGTGGACGAACTGAACTGAAATGGATGTGGGACCACTTTTCTGGTAATGAGCCACTGCAGACTGTTGCCACAAAGCGGCGTGAGCTGGGTACGTAACACGCTCGGTGAAATGTCCGGACAGCTTGCAGTTCGCGTAACGAGTGTGGATGAAACGTTTGTGTTCACGAAACGTGCGACAGACCAGCGGGATCAATACCAACTGAAACACCTGTGCTCCGTGAAAGTGCACGTCTACGCCGGAACAATTTCGGAAGCAGCACAGCATCACCTAAAGCATGGCACAGGAACTACCAGCTTGAAGGCAGCTCTTCGGTGCGCCGCACACCTGTGCTCCGTGAAAGTGCACTTCTACGCCGGAACAATTTGTAAGCAGCACAGCATCATTCAGCACGGCACGGGAACTACCAGCTTCAAGGCAGTCTTCCGGTGCGCCGCACAACCGAAGTGAGCCCTCGGTCATTTGATCGAAGCTGCACCGCGATTTCACACCGCCAAGCACGACTCAGGCAATTTCCGTCGCTAAACTGTGTATCCAAATATATTGCACACGCTTCACTGCAAACCTCGAAGATTCCGATGGTCAACGAGAGCACAGAAACGTCGCCTTAAATTTTATCCTAGCGGTATCCGAATCAATCCGAGGTCCGAGCAACGTAGGTCAGATTGTCTCTTCCGTGGCAATATCCCGGTCGGTCACCAGCGAAATGCACACCGTTTCTCCGTATTTTCACGTTATACCTACGTCAAACACCACGCTGAACTCTGAACTCGCTTTCGACCGGCCTCATATGACGGCTTCCGCGTCTGAAATCAACTCGCCGAGACGAACGACAACCAACAAAGCATCCGACAAGCTCCGGCCCAGGTGGGGCCAGCTGCTGCATGGGCGCTGCCATCTTTCCTGTGACGTCACGTATTTGGTTTGGTCATGTGACGTGTGGTCAAATTTGCGTACAATGGCAGCCTCCTTATGGGGGTCACTTTCGAGTGCAGACCGGAACCCCGGTTTATCGCTCTAAGCCCCTCTACCTCGTTGTAAGGAACCCAGGTTTAAGAGGTCGCAAGCAGTCGCAAGAGTGTGAACGGGCCTTGAGTTTCGGTTGCCGGCCAACAGATAGTGGCCGTTGTCCAGGACATTGTTGACCCCCCAGATATCCTCTTGCAGGCCCTTAATTGCGCCAACATTCCTTTAGACGTTCCAGTCTCACCTCCATCTTCCTTGGCCCCTTCCTCGTCCTCCTCCCCCCTCTCCTCCTCGGAGACGGAGGAGGAGGACACTTGGGTCCTGGCGGCCGATCGTATCTTACGTTGGCTCCATGACCAACACTCCGATGAGCCCTCAGACGGGGACGACGAGTCACCCGAGGAAGACTCCCGCCTTCCCATCTTTCCTAGCCCCACGTGGCAACCTGTTCGAGCCAGTGCTCCCCCCCCCCCCCGCCCCCCCCCCCCCCCCATAGTCGACTGGGACCTCACTTCTAAGACATTCGGGTTCTTCCCCCCAGCCGACTATGGCAATCTGAGGATACGTTGTGCTGCAACCTCGGTGGTAAACAACCGTCCCCCCCCCCCCCCCTCAGACCAATTGCCGGTGCTTCGTGCTGCAGTCGCTTCCATGACCGCTTCCGGCATTCTGAAAAGAACTTGTCGCGGCCCCTACCTTAGCCCGATACAGTTAGCTCCCAAGTCCACCACTGAGTCGCGTTTCATTTTGGATGCCAGTCATCTAACACCGCATCTCCTTGCGCCACCCTTCCGTATTGACCCACTACCTACCTTCCCACTAACGCATACTTCAATAAGGTGGACCTGGCGGAGGCCTTTTATCATGTTTCCCTCCATCCTTCTGCCCAGAAACTCACTACCTTTCGCCTTGATGGCACCTACTTTTCTTTTACACGGTTGCCGTTCGGCCTCCGTCCGGCCCCGTTTTTAATGCAGTCTTTGGCAACTGCACTTGCACGAACTCTCCGTTCACGCGGGATCTGGGCGTGGGCGTATATAGACAACTTCCTACTTGCACACCCAGATCCCTCGTTCCTCCAAGCACAAATAGATCTTTTTGTGCGCCAGCTCACTGCTTGCGGTTTTCAGATTAACCCCAAGGACACTACCCTCGTTCCTTCCCAGTCCATTAAGTTTCTGGGCTTTCGCCTGGACACCGTTGCCTCCACCATAGGGCATACCCCCCAGCGTATCCAGTCCCTCGCGGACACTTTACCTCTTTTGCGGTCCCCATGTTACCCAGTCCAGTACCGCCGCCTTGCCGGCCTCTGGGCATTTTATTTTTCGTTGTACCGCTCAGGCTACAGCGCCCTTCGGCCTCTCTTTGAGTCCGCCCTTACATATAAACCTCCCCCCCTCCAGTGGCTTCTTGTGTTCAAGGAACTTTGGCGTTCACTGCCACACACCCTACCGCTCGTCCCCCAACACCCTGTGAACGTGCTTTACGCCGAAGCGTCCAACCACGGACTTGGTGTCGTCACACCCACCTCTGCGCTCGCCATCCTGACCTCCCCTGACCGCCACATCTACCTGAGGGAAGCTGTGGCCTGGACTCTTGCTGCTCTTCTCGCGCCCACTGCGTCATTGATCTTCACGGACAACAAAGCCCTCCGTTGTGCCATCACAAGTGGACATCTCCGTGCCCTGCCCTGGACCCTCACTGTAGCAATGACCTGTCTGTCAATAAAGAAGGACCTCAGGGCCAAGTGGCTCCCGACTGCGCAGAACCCCGCCGACATGCCCTCACGCCTTCCGCTCTACTTTTCCGCCCATTCCCTCTCGGGATTGGCTGGGGGCATGTCGGAGGGGGGAGAGGGGGCGATCGCTATATAAGCAATCGCACCTCTCTCTCTGCCAGTTGGTTGCTTCGGAGGCGGCACACTCCCGTGTCGCTCCCAGACCCAAGGTTTGAAACCTTGGGTCTGGGTATAGAGATAAGACGTGGCCTTAGGCAGGGGTGCCCGTTATCGCCTTTGCTGTTTACGTTGTATCTGAGAGGATTGGAGGATAGACTAGAGAAGAGTGGGCTTGGATTCAACCTTTCTTACAGTAAGCTAGGCCAAAAATTTCAGCAATCCTTACCGGGATTGATGTATGCGAATGATATCGTACTAATGGCTAACAACAGGACAGAGTTGCAGGAATTAATGAGCATCTGTGGTAGGGAAGGAGAGGAATTAGGTTTAGAATTCAGTAGCGAAAAATCAGCAGTCATGATTTTTAACGAGGATGAAGTTGAGAGGCTGAAGATAAGAATATTACAGTTGAGAGAGCTAGTAAATACAAGTATCTAGACGTATAGATATGTGATGGTGCAGAATATCTTAGAGAGCATGAAAAGTATATAATAGGTAAGGGCAACAGAAATGCAGCTGTAATGAAAAATAGAGCACTTTGGAATTACAACAGGTACGAGGTAGTGAGAGAGATTTGGAAAGGGGTCATGGTGCCTGGCTTGACTTTTGGAAACGCAGTGCTATGCATGAAATCCGAAGTGCATGCGAGACTAGAAATAAAACAGCGCGGAGTAGGTAGACTGGCTTTGGGGGCATATTGCAAAACGCCAAACCAGGGAGTACAAGGAGACATGAGATGGGCGTCATTTGAGAGCAGGGAAGCGGTGAGCAAGATCGAATTTGAGTATAGGTTGAGGCAAATGGATGGGGAGCAATGGGCACGAAAGGTTTTCAGCTATTTATACATGAGGAGTGTAGACACAAAGTGGAGACAGCGCGCTAGGAAATTAAGAGGAAAGTTTTTGGGCTATAGCAAAGATACGGAAGAGCAAGTCTCAGTTAAGAAGAAAGTTAAGGCCACGGAAAGAGATCGGTGGCTAGAGGGAATGCAGACAAAGACGGCTCTGGAAAGCTATAGATTAAACAAAAGAGTTATTGCCAAAGAAAGCATTTATGACAATTCTAGGGGAAGCTCATTGCTGTTTGAGGCGAGGACGGGTGTTCTGCGAACCAGAACATACAGAGTGAAGTACCAGGGAATGAATACAGTGTGCACTGTTTGTGGAGAGGAGGACGAGACGGCTGAGCACTTGATACTCTACTGTAAAGGGCTTCACCCTATGCCTACCGAACACAAGATAGATTTAATAAAGTCATTGGGTTTTAGAGACAGCGAAAAGAGAGTGTATTTCAAGACTGTAGAGATTACCAAGCAAAGATTAAGTAAATGGTGGCAGAAATCGAGAGAAAACTAGGTATTTTCTTATTCACTGATGGCAAGGGGTTTCATAGCCTCACTTTCTTTGCACTGCGGAATGAATATAGATTTCACATTTAAATATTCTAAGCTTAAATGGTAAAACAAAATGGCTAGGTGGCGTAAGCTACCGCCCGATCCAAAGGGCTCAGCCGTATTCATCCATCCATCCTGATCACCCAGCAGCAGTTGCGGTGAGCGGACGTGTTTCCTGGTTCTCCTCGAGCATCCGAAGCTATGTGCCAGTTTTTCTTCTTTTCTCTATCTTTTTTTTTTTTGAGAGTTGATTGGAAGTGACTCTGCGGTAGCAGTATTAGGTTTGAACAGCAGCAGTTAACGTTAGTTTCGCAAAGTAGGCTCTGTTTGAATTTTTGGCGGGAACGGACGGTTTGTTCCCGGACTTCGTTTCAGCTTCCGTCCGAGCGCAGCCAAAGCTACGTGTGGCCTGAGCCAATCACACGTCGGCAATAGGTCACGTGATCTTGCTTGCACTTTTGTATCACTCCGCTGCGCCGCTGGCTGTCCACGCCGCCCGCGCTTGCCGACTATTTCGTCTGCTACAGGTGTTTCAACGGTATCATCTGCTACAGGTTTAAAAAGTGCCCTTTCCCGTTCTGAAATTTAGTCACAGGGGATGTCAGTACATAGGCTAGCCGCTGGCGTCTGTGTCCGAGCTTTCCATCTGTTCGTCATTTCGGCATAGTTTCGAGATGTGAATACACATTGCAAGGTGCCCGATGACCCGGCCGTCGATGTTTCCTTGTATTGTCTGTATGTACCAAGCTCGATGCGCAGTGCTTTCCACCAGCTTCTCGGCGTTCAATGTGATCGGCCAGTAAAGGGGTGCCCTGATTTCGCCGCGTATCAGTGAATTGTAGTGGCCCAGACGCTTTTCTTGTTTACAACAGATTCGCGGCCAGAGTCTCCCGCCGGGTTTTAAAGTAGGCGTTCATCACGACCTCTCGCGCCTGACGCCCAAATGTGCCTTTGCGAAAGGACGTTTTGTAAAGACTCGGTGAGGAAAGCAGCGAAGCACATGATTCGGCCAATACCGGGAACGAAATCACACAGAAAAACCGAGCGCTGCAGCCGTGTTTTTATTTATTATTTATGAATACTGTTCACCCCAAGTATGGGGCTTTAACAGGTGTGGGGTATAGAAGAGCACTGAAACATACAACATCAGGTCTACAATACAGTACACATTCAGCGACATTCACTTAAAATAAAGGGGCTGAAATAACACAAACATTCAATATATTATATAGCACTCAACAAAATGAACACTCAGCACTCGAAATCTTTAACGAAGTTTCCAAAAAATATTTAACTACTATTTATCATTCCAAACCAGTCATACTCAAAAGGGCGCTCTCAAAATCATCTAAACAGTCCAATGACAATATATTTTGTGGGAGATCATTCCAGTTTTTCACAGTTCTAGGGAAAAAAGAAAACCTATAAGCGTCAATATTACATTTGGGTACTTCAAACTCATTAGTGCTAACGTATCTGAGTTCTCTCGATGCGCGATGAGTTAATCTATAATCCGGGTTAATGTTATACAGGTGATGAGAAAACATAAAGAAAAACTTTAGTCGAGCAATTTTTCGACGGACAGAAAGTAAGGGGAGGTTGAGGTTGTTCAGCATATCTGTGACAGAATCAAGTCGCTTGTATTTGGGCGTCAGGCGCCCAAATACAAGCGATGTTGCCAGCGGATGTACGCGTTTTCACCAAACCACAGGCATTTACATATATTAATACAAACATACACTTCAGATATTTAGTTCCTTTCGTTGCAAATGATTCTCAGCAGTACACATCTGGAATGTTGCGCAATGTTAAGAGGGCGCGGTACCTCTATTTATTCGTCCGTTTCAGCCACCAGATGGCGCGCGGATCGTAACGTGGTTGAACGAGCAACTTCTAGATGGCGCCAGTATCGAAGTCTGAAAAGGCCCGCGTTATCCGCTACGTGAAATAGATCCCCAAAATGTGTCGTGTTCTCCCGGCGGAGGAAGTTTCTCCCTCCCTCGCGCGCGCTTGGTACAGACAATGGTATGTCTGCGGTCAGTCAGCTCAGAGTGCATAGCATCGGACGTCAGTGATAATACGCGCGGTGGCCGAGTCCGGCCTCTACTCTGTGTGATGCAGTGGGTGGCGCTCGTTTCTGTTCGGAGGTAGGAATAAAAATGTCGGTCCCCTTTTTTACGACGCTCGTTTCTATAGCCTAATTTTTTTTTTTTTTTTTATTTCAAGTGACCTAGGGTACCGCCTCTTCGAAATCGTCCTTTGCGGCGAG